GCAGCAGCAGATCTCGCTGCTCTGCTGCAGTGGATAACACAAAGATCAAATAAATAAAGCCCCATTAAGCCATGGGGGCCCCCCACATGGGGCCCTACTTTGAGGGCCCTTATTTTGAGGCGTCTTGGGGGGCCCCCGTGGGGGCCTGTGGAGCCTCTTTGGGGGCCCAGTGGGTTTTTTCGGGGCCCCCTCTGGGGCCCATGAGGGCCCTTACGGGGGCCTACGGGCCCCTGTGGGTTCTTTTGTGGGGTCCTAGGGGGCCCCTGTGGGGGCCTAGGCGCCCCCTGTTGGGGCCTAGGGGCCCCCTGTGGGGTCCTAGGGGGCCCCTATGGGGGCGTAGGGGGCCCCTGGAGATTGCTGGGGGCCCCTGAGGGCCCCTGCTAGGTTGGCAGCCCCGCAGGGTTTACTGAGCTTGGAAGGCCCCCGGGGGCCCCATAGGGTTTACCGAGCTTTGGGGGCCCCCTGGGGGACCCCTGGGGGCCCCCCTAGGGGCCCATCTGGGGTCCCCCTGGGGGCCCCTCTGGGGGCCTCCGAGAAGCTGCTGGGGCCCTGTGTCTTTGCTGCTTCTCTGAAATGCCTTTAAAGACACTTTGAGGGGCCCCAGAAACAAAAAGAAAAGGAGAGTCTCCTTTAAATAGAGGGGCCCCTAAATGTTTTAAAAGAGTTGAAGCGGGATAGATAGCTACAAATAAGAGCATTTGCATGTCTAGGCCTAGGCCTAGAGTTTAGGGTTTAGGGTTTAGGGTTTGGGGTTTGCGCTGACTGTGAAAGCCTCACTTCAGCGACCCTGCGTGTAGCGCGTAGGGTTCACGGTTTAGAGTTTAGAGTTTAGGGTTTAGGGTTTAGGGTTTACGGCTTAGGACCAGTAGTAGCTGTCTGAACCCAAACATGGATAAATGCAAATGCATTTAAGTATTTTTTTAATTGCAAATATGTTTATAAATATTTTAAAATAGAATTCTATTTTTGAAAATACTTTTTAATGCAAAAATACATTTTTAAATCTGTCTACAAATCTGCACAAAATGCCCAGGTGTCCGTACTTCATGTGAATATCTTAGAATAATTAAATTCATATTTATTATTCACATTATTATTTATATCTATATTTATATTGTGTACATATAATTACTTCTATTCGTATTTACATTTGCACTTATTTATTTAATTTTATCACTTACATTTATGTTTATCTTTACGTTTATGTTTACATTTATATTTTCATTTATATTCATATTTATATTTACATGTGTATCTATATTGATTTTCACATTTACATTTACACTTATATTTATATTTGTATTTATATTTGTATTTATATTTACATTTATATTTCTATTATCATTTATATTTATATCTGTATTTATATTTAAACGTATATTTACATTGATATTTTATTTATAACTTATATTTATATTTAATATTAATATTTCTATTATCATTTATATTTATATTTAGAAGGATCATTTACATTTGAATTTACATGTTTTATTTAATGTATTTCTGTATGTATGTGAATACACACACGCCCACAAATATAAATAAACACATCAGCATAAATATGCACAAAGTTCTCTTTTTATAAAATAGAACAAGGTAAAATAAAACAAAACAAAATAAAATAAAATAATAAAATAAATAAAATAAATAAAATAAAATAAAAGCAGCATACAGGAAATAAATGAAAGAAATACAACTTCACAGAAGTTTTGACTCAGAATGTTAAGAGCTCCTTGTTTGCAGCTCAGAAGTTTTTGCTGCTAATCTTTGGCCAGAAAATATACATTTAAGCAGCAGCAGCAGCAACAGCAGCAGCAGCAGCTGCTGCTGCTGCTGCTGTTTGCATGCGCAGGACCGCAATAAAAAAAGACACGTTTCACCAGGTGTACGTACACCCCGTATACCAGCAGTGCTGGTATACGGGGGTATACAGCAGTGCTGCTGCATGCACGGCAGCTGTCTGTACAGACACCCGGGAGAAGTTTTTCTGTGCGCAAGCAGCAGCAACAGAATCAGCAGCAGCAGCAGCAGCAGGTGCTGCTGCTGCTGCTGTTTGCAAGCGTAGGGCCGGCCCTCGGGCGCCACAACGGCAGCAGCTTGGCTATCTGTTCACTATGGGCTCACGAAATCCCCTCTAAAAGCAACAACAGCAGCAGCAGCAGCAGCAACAGCTGCAGCAGCAGCGCAGCAGCAAAGCACTTCCCCTCCTAACCTTCTACGATGACGACTAGCGCAGCAGCAGCAGAGCAGCAAAGTGAAGATTCAAGCGAGGGCAGGTCTAAAGGAACCGTGCGCCCTGCAGCAGCAAGGCCCTGGCTTCCTGCATCAGCTGCAGCAGCAGCAGCGCCTGCAGGTGGTGCAGCAGGTGCTGCTGCATCCACTGCAGCACCAGCAGCGCCTGCATGTGGTGCATCAGCTGCTGCTGCATAAGCTGCAGCAGTAGCAGCGCCTGCAGGTTGCGCAGCAGCTGCTGCTTCAGCAGGTGCAGCAGCAGCAGCCGCTGCAGGTGGTGCAGCAGGAGCTGCTGCTGCACGCACTGCGCCAGCGACAGGCCGGGCAGCAGCCGCAGCAACGTCTGCATCCCTGCTGCTGCAGGTAGCTGCAGCAGGCCCTCTTGCAGCTGCATCAACGCCTGCTTCCTTGCTGCTGCAGTTAGCCGCAGCAGGCCTCCTTGCAGCAGCAGCCGCTGCTGCTGCCGCTGAAGCGCCTGCATGCGCGCTGCACAAAGTGGCTGCAGCAAGTTTTGCTGCTGCAGCAGCAGCCGCAGCAGCGGCATGAGACGCAGCAGCTGATGTGCGCCTAGCGTAGGTCTTCTTCTGCTTCTGTCCTCCGCCGCATCACCAAAATCTCCACCATCCTCACCAGCAGCAGCAGCAGCAGCAGCAGCAGCAGCAGCAGTTTAGGGCTCTTCGGGGTCTGCGTCTGGGCGTTTGGCGCTTTCGAAGTCCATGTCGACGGGCTGGAGTCCGGAGGCCCAGCGCTCCTTGAGGCGGTCTGCTGCTGCTGCTGCTGCTGCTGCTGTTTCCTCCACGGCGTTGTAAGTGTAGCCCTGCAGCATTTGCTGCACCCCTCCTGCTGCTTGCACTTCTGCTGGAACTAAACTACTAAACACCGCCCCACAGCTCGCGCAGCTCGAGGCCTCCGGGGGCTTCTCGTGCAGGCAGCAGGGGCACGCCGCCCGCGCAAATATCCAGTCTGCAGCAGCAGCAGCAGCAGCAGCAGCAGCAGCAGCAGCAGCAGCAGCGGCGGCGGCGGCGGCGGGATCAGCGGCGACAGCGGCGGCGGCGGCGGCGGAGGCAGCGGCGGGGGCGCACGCAAGTGGGAAGGTGGTATTAAATTATTTTATTTTTAATTTTATTTTTAATTTAATTTAATTTTGTTTTATTTATGCTTTTATTTGTAGTTGTATTTGCAATTAATGCATTTGTGCACTTCATGCATTAACGGATTCAAATTATTTGAAGTGCATTTTTCAAAAATCCAGTTTGCTGCGGAGTCCCGAATGAGGGTTTAGGGTTTAGGGTTTAGGGTTTAGGGTTTACCCAAGTCCCCATCTTCTTCCAACTCCTGCAGCTCATTCTCTCCGCCCAAGACGACGCCGTCGACCAGCACTTGGGGCAGCTCCACTGCAGCAGCAAGCCACCAAACCCTAAACCCTAAACCCTAAACC